AATCTGGCCATCAATTCCTTGGATGCTAACTGATTTCACCCTAACTACTAACCCCTTAATAATATCATAAACCCAAAAGATCGAACGGATACAATACCATAAATTATGCGAGCAAGACTAGCAGATATAATGCTCCATAACAACCATAAGATAACAAGATATCAAGAAGGAAACATACCCGAAACTGCATTCGACTCTGCCCTGACCTCCTCTGCTATAAGCTGAAAAGCACGCCCCTAAGCCCTCGGGGGCTCTGCTCCACCCTGTCCTCCACTCGTAATCCTCAAAATGGCCGGTGCTGGAGCCTGCACCGGCTCTGCAGTAAGTTGTGGACAGTTGGCCCTCATGTGACTAACCCGATGACACTGATAACAAATCCTCATATCTTGAACTGGGGCTGATTGACGGCAATCCCTCGCATAATACCCCTCTCTCCTGCACTTGCGGCACGCACCACCGGATCTACAAATTCCGATGTGACCCTTCCCGCACTTCCTATAAGTACGGCTACTCTGATCTCCCAACCTAGTATCAACCATCTCATAGCTTAGGGAAGCCCCGACTAGCTCCTCCCCCTGCTGCTGTTACAGCCGCTGCGGCTGCCGCGGCCGCTGTCTTTGCTAGAGCCGCATAGCGCTCATCAAAATACTCGACCATGGCGGTCTTAATCGACCCAAACAGTTCCGGCAGCTCGGCTTGGAACATAGCAGCAACCGCATCGTGCAGGATCACAAGAATCCTAGCATCTAACTCATCCGTACTCATCTGACCGATGACCTTGGGTGGCACCGATCCACCCTGACCGCCCTCTCCGGCTCTCGATCCTGACCCGGATCCACTCCCAGCATGCCTCGTAACCACCATACTGAAAAACACCGCAAAACATCTGATACCTCCCACTAACCCGGGAATCAACCCCCAATCCAACCCTAGGGGTTGTGACTTCCTTGATACGCGTACGGGTCTTGTGCTTTCAGTAGTACGAGCCCATACTACCTTCCACACCTACCCATATTTATATCAAGTATCACCACAACACCCTAGAGACGAACATACATAACAAGCAGCAAATCCTCCATCCTAGAGGGATACTAAATATCTCATACCGACCTACTAGTCCCACAACTCACCCAACCATGAAACTTCCACCAACTCCTGCAGCACTAGTGTATGCTAGTCATACATAACGCTGGACCCTATAGACTTTCAAATATTCAATCCTACCCTAAGCTCCTAATCAAACAAGAACAGAACATAAGGCCAAATCAAACATTCTTAGGCTATAAGATTTTTATTATGTAAAACCGTGATGCATACACTAAGCAACTATAGTATTGATGTCAATCTCATATAAAGGAAAACCTAGGCGAGCAGGCATCATGTAATCAGACAATTCTATCATGCAATTCCTGAAGATCCCTAGCCTAGTACTAGCATGTTGTTCTATCATATCTTATAAACAAATAACTTGTATGGTATTTTGGGGCTACTTACTGGCTCCGACTGATCGTACCTCCCCATCCTCCTTTACTCATTTTTGAAAACCATTTTAAATTCTCTTTTGAAAACTCTCCTTGATTTGAGATTGGATTCACACGAATGTTCCTCCAATTCACTCAAACCAAGGCTCTGATACCAACTTGTAACACTCTAAAATTCAAGCCAATTTAAAATTTTCAAAAATAAGCCATATTCATGAGGAGTGGTACGATCACGCCTTCGCCTTGCCACGGTCTCCTAAAGTACTTGAAAAATATTAAACCACAACTGTAAGCCCGAAAGCTTAGTGAGATACCCCCAAAATACCAACCACATATACCATAAACATAACATATCATAACAGAATAGAACAGACATGCACTTAGGGTCTATTGTGTGACTGGTCCGCCGCACTGGGCCTTCAGTCCACCTGGTCCACCCTCCGAGTCTAGCCATATACATCGAGTATACAGTCTGATTGGTCCGCCCGCACTGGGCCTTCAATCCACCTGGTCCACTCTCTGAGTCTACAGTATGACTGGTCCTCTTGCACCGGGCCTTCAGTCGGCCTAGTCCACTCTCTGATCCTCGACGCGTTTGGTCCGCTCTCGTGGGGCCTACAATCTATCCGGATCGCTCGCTGGGCCTTCAGTCTAACCGGTCTGCCTTGAGTATGCTGGCCTACAGCACAAAGCAGGACCCGCCTCAATCCAACCCAGTCCAACAACAATGTGCACATAAACATATAACATATAACATATAACCATTCACAACTAATCAACCGATCTAACAGATCACATAGCTAGCAACATCCTAACCAAGATACCGACCTAACTGGTCACTAACATATACCATCCTAATTACCAAGATATCAACATAGAAAAGCAATAACATATCACTACTACTACTACTGGATTACAATATGATAAAGGGATGGCCTTGGTGACTTAGACCCTGTCGATATAGTGAGGATAACTCACCTCGCAACTGCTGATAGAAAAGATACGATCATGCTGCTCCAACCTCCGACACGAACCCCACCACTGATAATACCAAAAGACTGAACTCAATAAATACCAATAATTACCAAATTACCCCTGGAAGTCAACTGGTCAACTCTTGGTCAAAGTCAAAGTCCTCAGTCAAAATCAAACTTCGTGACTGGCTCTATTCGCCGAGTTAGCCCGCTGACCTGTCGAGTCCCCATGCTCTGAGAACTCCCATATCGCGACCCAACTCGCCGAGTTGCCCCAAGACTCACTGAGTCCCACAAACTCTGAGTCACTTCCTGCTGAACTCACCGAGTCGTCCCTCGACTCACCGATTCGCAACTCAACCAAAAAGGTTAGGACTTCGCGACCATACTCGCCGAGTTGTTCTTCCAACTTGTCGAGTCCCTGCCTATCTTCATCCAACTCACCGAGTACACCCATGTGACTCACCGAGTACCCCTAGTTCTTAATCCATACAATGTCCTTCCAAGCCATGTAGGGGCTCCAATCCATAGATCCAACCTCCTACAAACTTCCCCACATGTAAAGGTGCAAACTTTACATGAAACCATGGGGAAATAAACCCAGAATACTCTAGGGCTAAGGCTTAAGGCAAAGGGACTTTTCCAACCACTCTAGGACAGCACCTTGACAAGAAATAAGATCATTACAAGCTTGGATATGAAGTTTTAACTTCTGATCTAGCTTCTAAACTCGAAATTGATTCCACTCAAGCCATAATCCCCAAAATAGCAACCAAGAACGAATCTAGAAGAAGGAAGCTCAAGGTAATAGATTGTTACCTCAGAAATGATCCAAAGGAGGAGTACATCCCTGATCTACAATGATATCCAGATGCTAGCCTCTTGATCTTTAACCTTCTTCTTCTCAATTTCTCTTCCCAAGCTCTAATTCTTCATCAATGGAGGTTATACATGATTTTAGGGTTTTATGGGTATTGGAAGGTAACAAAGAGGCTGAGGGCAGGTTATAATGTCCTTTATATAGGGCACAACCCCGAAAAATAGGGTTCTCTCCACCCAGCACCAACTCACCGAGTCACTCCTCCGACTCGCCGAGTTGGTCACTTAACACATGAACAGATTCACGACCCGACTCGCCGAGTCTACCCATTGACTCGCCGAGTCGGTCTTCCATATTTACACTAAGCACCCTGAACTTTGCTCTTTTGAACTCGAGGTGTTACAACTGCCTTCGTGTCAAATTTATTTTTGACATCACAAATATCCAATTTTTTTTTCCAGTTGCTCTTGATCTTAATTCTTTGACACAATGCACACACGAAATCCTTGTGGTTCTAAGTAATACCGACTCAGGCTGATGATTTCAAATCTCTGGGAAATGAATTTACTTTAAAACCCAAAAGTAAAAGAGCCTAACCTCCATGCGAAGGGTTCTGACGGTTAAAATTCTGTTAGGTCAATAAAAATAGGCTATTTGATGAGACGTTTTATATTACCTCTTGTTTTCAAGGCGATGTGATAGTTACTTTTTGACGCATGGTTACTTTATCATCATCATAATGCGCTTTTCTTGGTGACACGTCAGCAAACATTAAATGCTTATCTCGCTTTGATTTCAAATTTAAGAGTTACGTATAAAAGGGGATTCAAGGGGTATTCATCCGTTTACGCTTACATTATCTCAAATACTCTTTGCAACTCAAAATTTCTCTATTCTTCATCTTGTTAAAAACCCTAAAAATAGTGAATGTGGAGAATGTTGCGGCTGAACCTTCACACACCACGGATGATGTTACTTCAGTGCCAATCATGAAAATCCAAGGAACAAACTATCAGGTGGAGTCTAATATGTCGTTGTATCCGGAAGAACTTAAGATGCTGATCATTGCTCTGCAACACTCTGTCCTGTCAACAACAATGTTTAACTCTTTTGCTGTTCCTATTTCCTGGTTATCTCAAGCCGGATCAACTTCTACATATTCAAAGGCCTTGGATGCAGTTACATTTAACCTAATCAACGAAAAAAAGGTTAGTTTGACTCTAAAGTTTTTTTTGCAAAATTCTTGCTATCCCAAACTCTTCACAATATGTGTCATTCACATTTCCACAAATAGTCCACATGTTCAATGAAATGGGACATCAACCACAGTTAACCAAAATCAGTGATTTCAAGAAATCAGGACTTCCTTGTGTGTGGAATTTTCTATTTGGCATTTTTCTTCGGTGCTTGACTGGCAGAACGGTGGGTCTTGATAAAGGTAGAATGGAGGTATACGCCATGGTAGCAGGGCTATATTACGATCTTCAAGTGGACTATTCGACTCAATTATGGAAGGAATTTCAAAAGAGTATCGAGAATACAAATGTTGTTCAGGGCATTTCGTGTGCTAGATATTGGAGCTTGATCTTACAATATTTTTATGAAAAAGAAGGGATATTGGTACCAGTTGATGAGGAGAAAGCTGTATTTCATACATACCATTGTCCAAAGGATGCAACGGATGATCTGGATGAGTTTCCGTTTGTACCTTGTATTCCTGATGCGATGCTCAAGAGAACTGATCCTTCGAATTTTGTCTTGGTTTCTTACTTAGCAACTATTTATACTTCTGTGGAAACCGGGATTCTTCTACCACAACCATCTGAGAAGAAATCCAAGAAGACAAAGAAACCTGTTGTTGGGTCTTCAGATACCAAAGCTAAGTCTTCGAAGAAAACAAAGTCGGTTCCTGTGATTGAACCTGAACTCGATCAGCCAAAGTTTGTTGTTTCTGATACCCAGGTCATTGAAAACGAAATAATGCCTTCGAAGACTGGTGTATTCAAGTGTACTAAGATGAAATTAAAGATAAAGAGAAGATCGTTAGGTACGAAGATGGTTCTTAAAACACAAGTTTCTCACCAAGGAGTAATTTTTAGAGAAGTTCCTGCTCCTGTTTCTCCTTCAACAAAGAAGAGAATAGATGCTGACATGGCCAAACACATTTCTCAGAAGAAGAAGAGAAAATTGATAATTTCTTCTAATTCCACCACTGATGACACAGAATTTATTCCTGAAACTCCTGAAGCAACTCTAATTATTGATTCTTCTATCGTTGATACTTTAGTGACTCAACCACCCAAAGTTTTGTTTGCCAAGACAGTTTATGTGGAGGCTCGAACTTCTGACATAACTGTAAACATATCTGATATGGGTACAAATGTAATTATGGGTGAGAATAATTCGAAGATTGCAGATCAAGGTATTTCTTTATCTCCACAGATTACTCCCATTGTTCCAATAACATCTACCACTGATTCACCCACTTTCCAACATTTCATCAATACCCTTTCACTTCAATTTTTTCATCTCAATCTACTGCTCCACCAAAACAAAATTCACCTATTGATGATACCATGCAATTGGAGATTGAAACTGATACTGACGGTTTTGGAGGAACCTTTGAAGATTTGAAGTTTGATGCAGAAGAAGAAGATTTTCGTGATCACATGTTAATGACCATGAAGCAATTTAAAATTTTAAATTCAAAGTTGAATTCTATTCTTTAATCTGAAGCTGATATTGGGGGGGGGGGGGGTTCTTCTGTCTCAAGTTTAGAGGTTGATTCTTTGCTGAAGGTCTTCGAATCCAAGGTCACAAACAAATTTTCTAGCATGATAAGGGATTATGAAGGACGGCTTTTGGAGAAAGTTGATTCTGTTGATCAATCGAATGATCTTCGTATGACTTCTCAACGTCAGGATTTCTTGCATGAAGTGAAAGAATTGAAACTCGTAACCAAGGAAAGACATGTGCTGTTTGTTCAAGAAGTAAAGAAAGTTCGAGAAGATGTCAATTTACAAATACGTGAACTTCGTGAAGATATGCAGAAGGAAGTTAAAGCTGTCAAACAAGATGATGCTTCCGTGAATCAAAGGATTGACATTATCTGTGATGCAGTTACCAGATTTGTCAAACTTTTCGAAAGTATGAGTCCTCAATTTACTCTTATTTCTGAAAAACAAGATAAGCATTTTGGTGACTTGCTTGGGTTATTAAAGGAATTGAAGGAATTATTTGTCAAGCCTGTTCCTTCTTCATTGATTACTTCAGAATACTTCTCACATAAATTTTTGCAGTTTGAAGCCATTTTACACAAACAACTGTCCCCTCTTACTCGTATATCCAACCTTCTTCCATCTATGTCAGATGCCCCACCTGTTGTCACAGGGGTGCAAGGGGGAGAAATGAAACTTGATTTTACAAAGACTGGGGAACATTCGAAGGTGGAGGGAAAGAAAATTTCTGCAGAAAAACCAATTGTTGTTTCAGCTGGTCTAGTTTTTTATACTGTAGTCACAACTGTTCCATTAACCAAGCCAATATTAAAGGGTGTTGTAATTGGAGAAGCAGGTGGGAGTGCTTCAAAGACGAAGACTGTGGTCACTGAGAAAGCTTTGAAAGATACAGGGAAAGGAATTTTGATTGAGAAAACGAAAGAAGAAAAGAAAGCAGAGGTAGAAGCTGAAGTAGAAAAAATGAGACATTTACAAAGTATTATGACTCTTCGTGCTCAAGATCCTTCAAATATAGATAAAGGTGATCCTTCGAAGCAATACAAGTATGAAAAAATTGACGCTAGATTTATTTTTGATCACATGTACTCTTTTGAGAAGATTCCAAAGAAAAGTTATGTGGTTACAAACTCTGATTCAAGTCAGCTGGATTTTCCAATGAATGAGATGATGTTTATCATTCCTCAGTTTCGAGCTGTAGTCAAGTGCAAGGATGTAGATGAAGGGAAGAAGATGAATGAGATGATTCAAGTCAGCTGGATTTTCCAAAGAAAAGTTATGTTGTTACAAACTCTGATTCAAGTCAGTTGGATTTTCCAATGAATGAGATGATGTTTATCATGCCTCAGTTTTGAGCTGAAGTCATGTAACGCCCGCAGATTCGGGCTAGTCAATTTAGAGGCAATAGCGGTCGAAAATGACTTTTCGACAAAAGATTATTTAGAATAAATAATCTTAACCAAGTTGTAGAATATGTCACAAGGTTTCCATACATATAAAGAACGCTGAAATCCGAGTTATAACGAAGAAGTTATGGCCCGTCGAAGTTTCGCGACGGAACCGGCACGAATCGGGAAGCGTAAATAGTGAATTTACGATGGAGGGATTTTTAGCCTTAGTGATCTAAACGAAAGTCGTAGAATAAGTTAAACCGAAAAAATCCATAAAAAGAACGCCCAAATCTGACTTCGTATGAAGAAGTTATGGTTTTTCTAAGATTCGGCTTAGTAGTGTACAGCCCGAAACTCGAATTTTAGTTCGAGTAGTTTTTGGCTTACGTGACCTAAATGAGAGTTGAAGATCTCATTAATAGGAACTCAACGGTAAAAATACAGACGAAAACGGAGTCCGTATGAAGGAGTTATGAATTCTCCGCGGTCATTTAACAGTCTAAACGCCTCCTACTGTTAAATTTGATATCAGTCGAGAATTAGCCAACGGAGTCTAAACGAAAGTTGTAGATCTTGATTTTACCTACGCGTGGATATAAAGAACATAGAAAACGGAGCTCGTATGCGAAAGTTATGATTTTTCTAAGTTTGAAGGCTGATACGCGATAGGGGGTGACGTGGCACCACCAGAATTGGACACGTGGCACCACCAGAAGGCCACCGCATGGACCAACTTGGCGAGTAGGTCCCCCCTACTCGGCGAGTCCATCATATTTTTGCACTATAAGTAGAGGTGCCGGGTCTAGCCTCTTCTTCACACCTCCCAAACCTTCTTTCTCTCTCTAAACTCTCTCTCTAAGACTCCCTAACACCCTAAAGCCTAGGGTAACTCCCTAGCACGAGGCGGAAGCCCCGGAGCACCCGACGGCTCCGAGAAAAGAGCCTTTCGGCTAGGGAAACGCTGCTCCAGTGAAGCCCGGTTTTGCGAAAAACCCGTTGTAAGTGAGCTACGCCTACGCTAGTTTTAATATAGCTTCTAATTAATTATAGTAACATTATTAGGACCTTAAAATAATTATTTGGGCTATTATTATGAGTTATATTGAGTGTTATTTAATGCTTATATAATAATAATAGTCAGACTATTAATTCGTCGCGGATATCGGTAGACTAAACCCTAGTGGTGTTGATACTAGGTTTTATCGAAGGAAAGTTGTTTTGAGAGTATCGAAACGCTGTCCGAGTGTTGAGTCACTACCTATCAGGTGAGTGCATAGTCCCTTTCATCTTACACATAGATATGAAGTATTTTATATAAACTACGTGCTATGTGTGCATATTATCTGAATACTTGCTGTCTATGCTGGATGAACGTTTTATACATGTTTTAAAGGATTTAAACTGTATACGTATTTTATATATACGAATATGTTGGGTATGATGATGGGTAGATGAATGATGAGAGATAGAAGATGACGTGGGTATACATTGGCAGCTATAGACTTAGTGCCTATGGGACAAACACCGGTAGCTATGGACTTAGTACCTGTCAGACGTTGGTAGCTATGGATTTAGTACCTGTTAGGAGTTGGTAGCTATGGACTTAGTACCTATTAGTTAGAAACTGGTAGCTATGGATTTAGTACATGTAGGAATTGGTAGCTATGGACTTAGTACCTGTTGAGCACTGGTAGCTATGGATTTAGTACCCGATGAGTAAGATATAGCAGCTATGAAATTAGTGCTTTACGAACGTATATCGACAACTATGGATTTAGTGCCAGTCCTATAAACCTGGGAGTAAGGGTCTTCAGAATAAACGAATGCAGGATAGACGACTCTTAGGTTAAATCCTTAAGATTAAAGAAGATAACGGGGATGGGTAATTGGGTTGATTGTTTGATTGAACATAATAATTATATTATTGTGGGTTGAACACCCTATGTACTCACCAGGTTTCCCAACCTGACCCACTCAGTTTATGTATATCACAGGTGACGAAGTGAAGTGACATTATACTGAGAGATTTAAAGAGATGTAGATCACTAGTGTAAAGCATTGTAAGTTCTGTTTATGCTTATGTTTCTGTATTAACGATGACATCCCAAACGTTTTAAAATGAAATAAATACGTTTCTTCGAAAATGTTTTAATAACGTATTTACCATGTTTTTCTAGGAATAAATTCCACAACATTTTTATAAAATGAAGTACTCTGATTTTTATAAAGCATAAACACAATCGGTCTTTTCTGGCCGAGATTTTGGGGATGTCATAGTTGGTATCAGAGCATTAGTTTAAGCGAACTAGGAATATGGATTTATTTCTAGACTTAAACTTAGAATGCTAATCAATGATTGTGAGGTGTGAGCACTAGCTTAATTTAGGAATGATGCCTAAATTGCTTTTATGCGCTAAATGATTTGTTATGCTATAGTTTGATCAGATCTATGGTCTGTTGTCGATCGGATCTGGAAACCTTATGTGTTTAGGATTCTAAACGTACGAATACGATATTAGAACTAGCACATAAATATTTCGGAGTGATAAGGATAATTTAAACGTCAATCCTAAGTAAAGATCTAGATTCACCATATTCGGTGTAGAGATCAAGATGGAAAGAACCCATAGCGGAAACGTAAATGCAAATGGGAACCGAAACCAACCCCCAGATAAATCCGATGTTCATCGTTTTCTTTAAGACTTGTAGATCCGATCATTAGTGATCGATCGAGGTTTTCTTTTTTATGAATTTCTTTTTTGGTTATGTTGTTGATTTTTTTTTTTCAGATCAGACCTTGAGTACAATCCAACAATGAAGTCAAAACAACAAGTCAAATAAGAAATATATCAGGTTTGTGTTTCCTTTTTTTTCCTTCCATATTATTTTTCTTGAGTTTTTCGAACTATATGTGTCTGTAACTATTTATGTGAGAAAAAGTCTTGATTGTGTTTGTGACATTGGTTGTTGTTAAAAAGCATAAGAAATAGTGCATGTGTGTATTCCTTAAAATATTTGATTTAGGTTTTTGTTATTCGAGAACAACGGCCATTCTGCAACATAATTAGTGCTAAACTTGGTTTTCTTTGTGTAAATACATGAGACCCATAAGATATAAAAAGTTGTTGGTTGTTGATATACTTTAAATACAAAGAGAAACAACTGAGTTTTCTTATTTTTAAGGAGAAACAAGTTGATTAATTCAGGAAATCAAGTAAAAGAGGCAGGTCTGATGTAGATTTACAAAAATGTTTTTGGGTTAATGGTTTTTTTTTTTTTTTTTTTTTTTTTTTAACATTATTGAGATCTGATCCGCAAGTTCCGATTTACTGTTTTTTTATTGTTGATGTGCATCCCATGGAGTATTTTGTTACCAAATGATCGGATATCAGGTATGATGCCCCTTCTTGATATGCTTGGGTGCTACTGTTGATCTTAAAAAAATTATAGAGTAATGACCATTACGCCCTTGAATGTGATTTAAAATTTATTGATGTTGCTTGTTGTTTTAGATTTACAAGGTTAAAGACTCAAAGTAACTAACAAATAATAATCACATGTCAGTTTATGCCATCCTTACTTCACAACCATCTTTCATATAAATTTTCCTTTAGGTTTCGAAAAATTTCATATTATTTAGATTGCAAAAGCCCTAATTTATTCATTCAACTAATTTATTGATGAAAAGTCTTTTTTGGGTCTTAGTTTTGAAACAAATAATTTAAATACAGGAAAATGAAATTTTTGTATGAAATCTGATTTTTTAAAAATTTCTTTTATTTATTTTGTACACCGACTTCTATTTAATTTTGTGTTTTATTGACAGAAGACGCCACCAAAACTCAATCTTAAAATAGCAACGAACTTTGGGCTTTAGGGATTTCTTGGGATTGAGTTGTGAATGATCGATAATGTCTTAACTCTCTTCATGGTACATTCATTTTAGTAAATTCTATTATACATGTGATATCTCCTTTAATTTTGGGTGATGTATATAATGAAAGGCTTTGGTAGATATGTTTCATTAAGGTTGATCACAACCCAATCCAAGTTCTCAATGCTGATTATAATTCAAATTGGTGTAGGTTTAACATACGGTTGAAGTTGATGTTCATTGTCGTAATATAAAGGTTTGGTGATTATATATTTTTTGTTTAAAATTTTAATATTTAAAGTGACAATATAAGTTGTCTAATAATGCTAATCATGTGGTTCTTTTAGAGTTGTAATTAGTTTCATACATACGCATCATTAATAGAATCATAAATGATACGTTAAGTTTTTTAATATATTTTTTGCTTAGCAGGTCAATTATCTTTAATGTTTATTGATAAAATAAATTATTCTAGATGAAAACAAATTATTATTTTTAAAGTGTTTATTAAGATATTATTCAATACTTACTTACTTAAAAGATTATCAACAAACAAAAAATATTAAATTAAATTATTAAAAATAAAAGTTATAAAAGCTCACTACCTTATAAAACACCATAACGATACAAATCCTTAACCCCCCCCCCCCCCCCCCCCAACCCAAACACACATACATACATACATACATGCACTACTAGAAAAACAACCTTTTATGACATGCAATGCACGTCATAAAACGCTCATACGACATGCAAATGCGTGTCAAGGAAGACCCTGTCATACAAAAGACGACACGCTTTTGCGCATCGTCTATTTACGACATGCATTTATGACATGCTTTGACGACGCTCATTTACATCACGCAATGCGTATCACAAAATGCCCTTTCATAAAGGAAGACGACACGCATTTACGTGTCATAACCTTACGACGCGCGTTTAGGACACACATTGCGTATCATTAAAGCCCTTATCATAAATGAAGATAACACACATTTGCATGTCTTAAACTTCAACAACCATTTATGATTGCATATACGATGTGCCTTTACGATACT